CCTGGAAGTAAAGAAGATTTAATAGTCTCAACTAAGCATACCTACAAAATCATATATCTTTCATGGATGAGGAAGATCGGTTGATGCGCACCGGATCAAATTGTATATTGTCTTGAGCTTTCAAACTCTTACCGGAATCCATCGTCAGAGATAAGCAACAGCAACAAAGAAGGGTAATTATAACGGATGTACACCAATCAGCCTTCAGGGGTCATCGGATCGTAAGGGGGTAAGAAACAACAGTGAAAAAAGGAGTGGAGGGGAAGGAGGGGGGGCAAATGCCTGGAATGCGAATGTTTTCAATGTTTAAAATACCTAAGGGCTTCGTAGCCAGATTGCACCGAAAAGCCTGGTAACAGTTCCAAATTGATGTGAAAAGGCAACTGAAAGGCTTTGCTAAAGCTCTATTTAATGGGCAGAAAACTAAGATTTCATATGCATTCGTGAGGACTGTAGGAGTGGATACAGAAGGGAGACGGTGCAACCGGTAATGAGTAATAAATCAGACGATAGAGTCCCTATCTCATAGAATCTCAGTCAAAATTCTAAAACGTGCTTTCAATTTGAACTAACTATCGTGCAGCCTAATCCCAAGATATTTCAGTCACTTCAGGATGCCTGCTTTTTACTGAGTTTTTCTCTGGTCGCCTGAAAAAAGCCTACCCTTTAAAAAGTGGCAATTAAGGCAGTGTGCATTTTTCTCATTGATTTTAACTGCCCATATTAACTCAACTATACTCTACGAAAAGTGCACAAAACTATTCTGTGTTTTAGGCGTTAAGTGGCAAGTTACGCTTTATTCAAATTTTATACCTGAGAAGAGGATATCTTTCGGTTTTAATAAAGTTTTTATCGATGAAATGTTTTACAACCGTGAAAGACTTATTCACAATAAATCGTATCCGTCAATTCATTTATGTTGCCTATGAAGTATAGCATATGATATATCCATTGAGAAATTTTATGCGAACTACCTGACCTCTTCCTTGTGGTGTGTGGAAGTGCATAGTTGTCCTTGGACTGAATTTATATAGCATATAGTTTGGAAATCTTGAATTCACGTGTAACGGCTTGAAGGGTTCAAATTATTCGGCGATTTGGGAACTTTTCTTAAAATCAAAACATGCTCTTTTTCAAACTATAAGGTGTACTTTACTACCGAAGGAATGCAAGGAAGACTTTTCTTGTGCATCTTTCCTACAGAATATATTTGAATTTATGATGGTACTGAAAATCATTGGGGAAAAATATACACTACTTAAGTAGTGATTGTTACATAATGCATTTTTCAGGCGGTCAGAAGGACACTCTATGAAAAGCCAGCACCCTCAAGTGACTAAAATACCCTGGTATTAAGCTGTACGATAGTCAGTATTGTAATCCTACTTAAATCATTTGTTCGAATAAAAACGCGTTTCAGAATTTCGGTTAACATTTAAAGAGATAGGGAAGTAACTGTCAGTTCGATGATCAAACTCTCACAATTTGTTTCTAATTTTGCAACATTTTTAAATGTAAAGAATGTAAGAAGTTAAAACTTCATAAGAAACCTCCCAACATTTCGTATTTTGCTAGAGACCGTGAGTTGCGACAGCTTACTTAGACCTCCCTTCTGCCCAAATGGTATCCGATAACTGCTTGTG